GATCTCGATCCAATATAATGCTACGTGGTAAGCCATGCTGTTTAAATATTTCTTGAAAATATAACTGAGCTACTTCTGGTACCATAACAGTGGTTCTAGTTGGAATAAAATAGGCTTTTTTGCTAAATTTGTCAACCACAACCATTATTGAGTCATAACTCTCTTTAGTAATAGGCAGGTAAGTGACAAAATCCATAGATACTTGTTTCTATGGTTGGGTTGGAATCTCTAAGGGCTATAATAAACCAGCTGGGGCTTTGTTGGTGCTTTTGTTTTGTTGACAACTTTTACAACTGCCAACATACTTTCTTACAAATTTATTCATTCTTTTCCAATAGTGATTTCGGTGTATACTCTCATATGTTCTTTTTGCCCCTGGATGTCCGTTGTTGTTGTGGTGTTTATGCAACAAGGTTAATTTAACTTCCAGTAGAGGTGGAATACATAGATGTAGATTTTCTTCATTCTCTATACGATATAGCAACCCTTCTTCCGTTAATTGGTAATGTCCTAGTTGATTTTTTAATTTAATAGCTTTATCACTATTTGGATCTTTCAATGCTTTTATTAGTTGCGACAAATATTTTTCTTGGGCATATTCTCTACTAATCTTTTTATAAAGATCTTGATCTACATTTACAGCAGTTATTATGTTTGTCTTTGGCCTCCTGGATAATGCATCTGCAACCACATTCATTTTACCAGATTTGTATTTGATTGTGAAATTGTATGATTGTAGCAATTTCACCTATCTTGCCTGTCTTCATGATAGTTTTGATTGGGTCTGAATATACTCAAGGGAAGCATGGTTTGTTGTTACTATAAAATATTAACCTTCAAGGTAGACTTTTCACACCTTTAAGATGTATACTATTGCCAAGAGTTTTTTTTCGTGAATAGGATAGTTTAGTTCAGCTGGTGTTATTTTCCGAGATTCAAATGCAATGAGTTGTTCCTCTTTTCCTTGATCCTAAGTTAATACTGCTCCAATTGCTATATCCGATACATCCATCATTACTATGAAAGGTCTTTCCAGATCTGGTATAATTAATACTAGGGCATTGGTGAGTGCATTTTTTAAGTTGTTGAATACTTGTTTTTGTTCATTTGACCATTGATTCTGTTGGTCCTTGTATAAAAGTTTAGTGAGAAGTACTGCTATTGTGAAAAATTTTGAACAAACTTTCTATAGTAGTTAGATAAGCCCGAAAATGAGCAGAGCTCTTTGATATTTTTAAGCGTTTCCTACTTTTTTATCGCCATTATTTTCTTGGGATCTACCAAGATTCCTTTAGATGATACTACGTGCTTTAAAAAATCAACACTGTCTTTTCCAAATTCGCATTTTTCTATTTTGCCATATAACTTGTTTTCTCTAAGTTTTTCCAACACCTTTTTGACATGTATTACGTAGTCTTCTATTGTTTTATTAAAGATCAAAATGTCATCTAAATAAATTATTACATAATTGTCCAATTGATCTCTAAAAATGTCGTTCATAAGTCGCATAAATATTGCTAGGGCATTTGTAAGACCGAATGGCATTACTAAAAATTTATAATAGCTATATTGTGTACAAAACGCTGTCTTATATATATCAGTTTTCTTTATTTTGATCTGATGATAACCTAAACATAAATTGATCTTGCTTAAGTATTTAGCGCCAGTTAATTGATCCAATAATTCGTCCACTCTTGGTAGTGGGTATCTATTTTTAATAGTCACCTTATTTAGAGCTCGGTAGTCAACACATGTATAAGGATCCTTTTTTCTTAAACAAATAGAACTAGAGCACTATAAGGTGAAGAACTTGGTCTAATTACACCTCTTTTGAGGTTTTCCTCAAGTTGCAATTTTAGTTTTTTCATTTCATGGTTTGATAACCTATAGGTGGGACCAAATGGGGATACTGTGCCCTCTTGTAAAACAATTTCATGATTGATGTTACATTTTGGAGGTAGATTATTAGATAACTCTCTTGGAAAAACATCGTCATATTCTTTTACCACTACACTCAGAAAATCGGGAATATTAATTAATTTTTTTCGATTTTACTGCATTTACAGCTAACACCACGTATAGTTCCGCTACTTGTTTAGCGTTTTTGGCCAATTGTTGTTGAGTTACCATAATTGTTGAACATTCCTGGTGTCTTATATGGGCTTTTGTATTTATTTTATATACTTTCCCTTCTTTTAATATTGAAATGTGGTTTGTTTTCTAATTAATTCTTGGGTTGTGATTGTGCAACCAAGGTTTGCCAAGGATCATATTGTATTTCTGTAACAGTAATACTTCTATTTGCACTCTCTCTTCTTTCCAAGAATATAGTTGAATTTTTAGGTTTCTTACGCATCCACGTAACTCGCAAAAGGTGCCATCCGCTAATTCTACTTTCGTGCATTCTCCGTCGTCTTGGTCTACCAGTATTTGATATTTTTCAACAAATTCCTTGTTTATGAAGTCTTTGAAGGTGCCAGAGTCAATAAGTATTATTGCTTCTTTATTATCTATTTTGCCTTTTACTCTCAGAAGACCTTCTCTATTTGGTTGATCATATGATTCAGCTGTACTAACTTGTTCAATATTTTTATTAAATGCCTAAGTATTTCCATAGTTTGTTCCCAAGTTTATAATTGGTTTGTTGAGGCAGTTTTTTGCCAAATGACCTTTTTGACCGCATCGAAAGCATAACCCTTTTTGCCTTAATTCGGTTTTCTTGGAATCATTTACCAGTTTAAAGATTTCTTTTTTATACTTTTTGTATTTTGATGCTTCAGCTTTATCAAGTTCTATTGGTACTGGTTCCGTTGTTCTTGGTCCTTCTTCCTTTTGAGTATGACTTTGAACATTGTTTGGCAAATTTCATTCCACTTTGATTACTCCATATATCGCAACATTGTATGTGGTAGCTAGTTTAATAGCATCATTCAGCTTTTCTGGTGATCTATAACTTACTTCTGCCTTTGTGCCCAGTTTTAGTTCCTCCGTAAAGTATAAAATTTTGTCAGCTTTGTGCATGCCATCTACCTGTCCCAGTATGTTTCTAAATCTAGATATATACTCTTGTACTGTAGTGGTTTGTTTGATATTATACAACTGTCTTTGAAGGTACTGTTGGTGTTGTGGCAGCTGAAATGCCTCTTTGATCTCTTTATCAAATGCTGCCCAGTTATTAAATGGTTTTGTGATGCATGTCCTTGTACTTGATTTAAGTACCACTGTAATGCAGGTCCTTTTAACCCTGTTATTATATATTGTAGTTTTTCTTCATCTTTGATTTTTTTTGTTTTAAACAGCAGGTCGACTTGTACTAATCATGTCACTATATTTTTTTTTTTTTTCTCTTCAAAAACTGGTAATTAAACCGAGAGTCCTTTTGCAGCTATTTTTGAAGTACTATTAACAGTGCCGACATTTGTTTGTTGGCTTTGAATAAGTTGAACAACGTTTCTATTAAGTTTTTCTTGTTGCTGAATGAAACGTTAGATGAAGTCATTAAAAGTTTCTTGAGTTAGTTGTTGTGACATGAGTTGTAAGTATGTTAAGTATGTTATTAGTAGGGTTTATACGTATGTAGATCGTTTATACAATTATTGTATTTTTGTTTGCTGCTACCAAGTGTAACCGTTGTTTTACAAATGACGTTCATTATTTATTTGTTTATTGTATTTTTAAGATATTCGCAAAATAGCCCAATATTAAGCAGTACATTGCCTTCTTAGGTTATAAATAGTCTTTATTTGTTGTCTTAACAAAAGGGTCAGAACCGACTTGCATTGTTCTAACAATGCTTTCTCTCTTATATATTTGTTTACATATTTAATTTAATCTCTGCATTGTATACAATTTGTCCCGTATGATCTTTGTGCATAATCGATTAATAGTTTCATTACATATAGTCTCAGATATTACCAAATAAGAAAATCAGTTTACAACTAATAAAAGACTATTCTAGAATTGAAAAGCATAGTATTTTTGATTTTTTTTAAAAAAAAATTTAATAAAAAATCCTCAAATTAATTTTAATATAAATTTTTATGTAACTATGTAGTCTAGAGATCTCGCATAATCCCAGGAGCTTTAAAAAGCAGTTGTTTACCAAATATAAATATAAAAGATAATTGGGCATAAATTTAGCTCTATAGATTATTATAGACTTAAATAGAAATGTCAAGAATCTTCTAATTTTACAAAAAAGGGCATGATTTGCATAATCAAATTTGGTAATATTCGAGACTGTTATAGTAATCTCAATTCTCAATATCAGCTGTGATAATAATTATAATTTTTAAAAAACAGCATATGGACTATAGTATTATACTTAGTAGTATTGTAATTATATCACATTCCTGGTTTTATTATAACTGTATCACACAGTTACTCTAATTAAATTAATTCTCGATTTTGATTAGCATTACATAATTGTTTACTAATTTCTGACTAGAATTAATTTTTAATTTTTTCATTACAAAAATAGAAATTTTTTAAACTAAGTTTGTATTATAATAAAATTGGCTCAAGAACAATTTTCACTTAATAGGCAGCTACAATTTCATTAGTAAATTATGAGTAATTCTGGCCTAATTTTTTGATTGTTACTCTTAGTATCAAAATTGAGGATCTGCTATACATTTTTTGTGTGACTTCTAGCTACTAGAAATATATATATATGTATATATGTGTATGCTTATGAATATCATCTTATAATAAAATTTTATATACAATAATAATATAAAACTTTAGTACAGTCTAATCTCCCTATAATCACATCCTTGGAATAAAGATTTGTGTGATTGTAAAGAGAATTTTACTAAGAAGTACTTATAAAAAAGTTTTTTTTCTATATGTTTATAATAGTTGGTTTTAAAATAAATATGCTATAAAGAGAATTTTTATATGATATACTTATATAGAGAGTGACTATAGAGAGATTTAACTGTATACTTGTATAAGCAAATCAGTTAAATCAAAATTTATTTAGCAACTCTAAAAATTTCTCATTGATTAATTTTATATTTTCCAATGAGCATTATGGGTAGTTGTTCATAGTATATATCTGCTATTATATGACAAAAGACACTAGAATAAATATTTTGATCTTCCTGATGAGAAAGTACTAAATTATCACCAAATTTTAAAATTAAACCATTAATATCTTTTCTATTGGTAATTATTTTCTCAGAACTGATTGCTTGATCAAAATTTACAACATGATATAATCGATAATTTGTTTTATTATTTGCTTTTACTTCATAAGAAAAATAAAACTATCTTTTGTATTTCTATACTCAATATCAGTTGGATAAGTGTGATATTTTTCATATTTCCAATTGAGAAAATTATAAGTACCAATTATTTTTTCAGAAAATTTTATTGACATTAATATTAACAAAGGCCCATTATGGCATTTCATTGTTAGTAATACTCTCTCTGTTAATTGATTATAATATTGTTTTGGATAGAAAGCTGAATTATCTTTTATGCAAAATATAGAAGTAAATTGGAATAGCATATTAGATTTAAGGTAAGAATCATTTTTTAGATATTTTTTATCAATCCAAGTTGAAATAATACTGAAAAAGTTACTATTAATAATTGGCACAGCTGATGCTAAAAACAGCTAATGCTGAAATTTTTTCATATTTTATTATAAAATTTACACTTTTTTTATAGTTAGATTAGGATTAGTAAGGTAGTTTTATTAATAAAAAAGTACATGTAGATTTTAGTTGGTAAAGATTATTAATTAGTATCAATATTATCAAATTCAAAAATACTTCTTATTTTATAACTAATAATACCTTTTATTTAAGATGTCCTCAAGAAGTCTTCTTAACATGGTGCACTCATAATTAGAATATTACAGTTACAACTAATTAAGATAATTTATTGAAAATTTGTAATGCAAAACATAAATTTAGGGAACTATTACTTATTATGTAATTATAGCCTCCCTCCAAAGTCAGCCATTTGACAATTACAAGTTCTAAAGTAATCAATCGTTTGATAATTGTAAGCACTAAAATAACCAATCATATAGAATTTATATTATAATACTTTAGAACTTGTAATTGTCAAATAACTGACTCTGGAGGGGGCTATAATTACGTAATAAGTGATAGCTCTCTAAAATAGCTCAAAAAAAAAATAATAATTTGTATTTTATATTTTAAACAATAAATATATACTTATTAATTCTAAAAAATTATTTAATACAATAATAAAAAGTTGTTGTTGCTATTAATAACCCTGTTTTAATCTATATAAACCTAAAAAACTAACTTTGTTAATAGCTACTCAAATTCCAGACAACAGTTTAAACTATAGTTTATGTGTATTCTAAATAATCTTTTGTCAAGGTACTGGTAATTCTAAATCCACTTTGAAACTTCTTTACAAGTGCGAAATCTCTAACTCTAACTATAATTTAAAGGTTTGGTAAGCTTATATTTCAAAAAAAAGAGCTTTTAAACTAAAATAGTAAATGCATACTATATATGAAAATGAAATGATAGCTATCTTTGAAGGCATGATTCTTTTCAGCTTTATTTCTTAACTCGCTTTAAACCCAGAAATAAGAAAGTATATGTGCAGTCAAACTGCTATACCTTGTCTTGTGAACATTATTTCCTTTTAGGAAACCCCTGAAAATACTGCTTGAAAAAGGCTTACCGTTGCAATTTACTATAAAAAATAAGATTTAAATTTCATGGTAAAAAATTTACCCCTGATTTGAGTGACAAATCGTGTGACTGTTAATAAAAAAAATGCGTATTTTTTGTCCAAGCTCTAGAGAATTTATGCTTATTGTTATCATACGTATTTGTTTAGTCCACATTTATCCTTTTTAAGAGTTTAACATTTATGGTGATTCATTGATTATCATTTTTCTAAATAACAGGGCATACCGTAAATGTGTACAAGGTTGTTGACCGGAAGGTCATGTGATAGTCCGGAAACCACCCCAGAAAAAAATAACTTTATTGCAATTTTAAAAATATATTTTCAATAAATTACAGCTTAGAAATTACATTTAATTTTTTTTATTTTCGGCAATGTTATTTGATAAATTATGTGCCTTTTTGAAGTTTTTCGCTTTTTGCATGCACCCATTATAGTTGGGTCAATATTTTCTTTAGGTATCTTACGTTTTTTTCGTTGAACAGATGCTGGTTGCACCCGAATTTTGGCCCCACTTCGTATTAATTCAACTTGTGAGGCAGAATTGCGTTGATAAAGATAAGAAGCTAACTTTCTGCCTGACATAGATTCAGCCTTTTCATATCCTTTTTTAAAATATTCGAGACCCACAAGTAACTGACTATTATTCTTTATATCATCTAAAATACGATGAAAAAAACTTTCAAGTACTTCAACATGTGCATTCATATCTTCTTCGACATTAGTAAGATCACTTTATATTAAATTTATATTTTAGTAATAAAAATTTTTAAATAACTATTAACAGTATTGATTTGTAAATTACCAAGTAAGAGTATCGCAATCATGTGTGGTAGGTGTATTTTCAATCAAGCTTTGGGAAATATCTTGAATAGATTTTTTAGTTATTTGGCTATTTTCTGACATAAGCGGTGCATGTAAAGATGCATAAAAGGCAGAATCAATTGCAACAGTTCCTTTTTAAAGTATAATCTTGTTAACTTTATGTAAATAAAATATATAATGCATTAAAATTTACTTACCACAAGCTATATATCGATAGACTATGCAATCATCAATAGAAAGAGCGGGAATAAAATTAAATGAACCTTCATGATACTTAATTGCAACAGCAGCTTGATGCTTGCAAGGTGACCCTCTAAGCGCTGCAATACATGTACAAGTCCCAATAGATGGGTCAATGGTATAGAATTTGCCAGTAGTTGTTACACTTGGTACAGCATATACATTGTTAATTATATCATATCTAATTTCCTCCTGGTTTACCATTGTCCAACCAGGACAAAGAAACCGTTTTGATATTTCTAAGTGACCCGGGTGTCGATTAGCAATATCTAATAATTGTCACTCATAAAAATATTCCATGTTTGTTATAATAAGCTGGAATATTTGAACAGCATTATAAGCTTGAGTTCTCCCAAAGACTATATCTTTTATTATTCCAAAGCTTTGTTCCACATAATTATTAGTGTGGTGGTTGTTACATAATAGCAGATTCTCTCAATATGATAGTTCCCAGGATGACCGTTGTTCCCAAAGAAGTAAACAATGTGATGCAAGCTGTCTATATTTAGTAAAATATTGTTCTTTAAACTTGACAAACTCCTCTTCCATTTTTGAAATAGTAGGTGCATACAAAACAGTCTTTAATGAGTTCATAATTGGAATACGATCATCTTTGTGAATTTTATGCTTTGAATCGTATAGCCAATGCCAAAAAGCCTGTAAAACATGAAAGACACATAGTAAATGAGTACATTTTGGCCAAGAAATTTCTAGAGCATTATACTCAGCACTACAGTCATCAGTGATAATTACTTTAGGGCCAATTTGTGGTCCATGCCCGTAAAAGGCATTAGTAGGTAAAATGTTTAAGCAAATTAAGAGCATTCTCAATTGTAACTTCGGTCTCATTTGACGTTAAAAATATTCCTAAAGGAAGAGCACCAACCACACAACTTGTGTAAAGTAGAAAAATCGATGTGTTAAGTGGATCAAATGCAGCAGATGCATCTAGGTAACAAAGTTCACCAGACTGACAAATCTTTTCATGTACTCTTTTCACCAGACTTGTCACGATACAAAGAATAAAAGGTGTATGAGGAGTAGAATTATATACTTGAAGAACTACTTTTCCATCATTCGAATCATTATACTGATCAACCATCTCTTGCAGTTGATTAAACATTCCTCTTCCATTTCGATCACCAAATTGAGTATGACGAAAGTTAATATAAAGATGTCACAAAAAGCCTCCATCTGGATTTTTTGCTCGATCAGCCAACAAATGTACAAGTTCATCATCATCAGCCGCAGATAAGTGCAATTTATCTTCGTATATATGTCTTGCTGAAGCTGCTGTATGCCCGATATTAAATAGATCTATATATTGTTTTTGTGTTTCATCACTGACAGGTCGAAAGCTAAAAGAAGCAGCCGAATTTGGCAAATGATTATGAGTAAAATTAAGATTGATCTCTAATGGGTGAGAAGTTATAAGATTTGGTTTCTTCAATTTAAAATCAAGTATGGCTGTACAGTTTGTATTTCTTTTACGCTGACTATTGGGATTTTTAACTTCACGGTTTTTATTTTTTTGCTTCACAATGTTACTATGGATGCAATGTCGTGACTCCCGAAAAATAACTTTGCACCCCTTAACTGGATAGGTTCGGGTAAGACGCATAGTTGTTTTTGAAATCTCTTGAAATTTTTTTAACCACTCTACAGTGCCTTCTTTGGTATTAATATTCGCATATAAATTTACACTAATTTGTCCGATATTCACATTTTCAGCTGTAATTTTTGATTCATATTCGATATAATTTTCAATTTTATAACTATAATTTTGTGGAAGGATTTGTTGAAGTGGGGTTGGTAAATCAGATAAATCAGGTAAATTTGATCTCTCTTTTTGCATTTTTTAATTTTTTAATTTTGACGATGTGCGCAAATAAGAGAATAAATTAAGTAAAATAATAAAGCGAAGTAAGAGAATAAATTAAGTAAAATAATAAAGCGAAATAAGAGAATAAATGAAGTAAAATAATAAAGCGAAATAAGAAGCACAATATATGAAAAAAATCAATTTTATAAATAAAATCATTATTGCTATCATTATAATATTATTAATATCATCGGGATTGATATAATAATGATCCGAAGTTATTGTTCGGACTATCACATGACCTTCCGGTCAACAACCTTGTACACATTTACGGTATGCAATAACAGGTGTTAATCTTTTTTTCATTACTTTTTCTATTTTTTCTTAACATTACTTTTTCTTAACATCATTACTTTTTCTTCTAATCTAACGGAGAATATTCTTTTTAATCTAATTAATGAATATGAAACTTATTCCTTATACTCATGCACACTTGTAAACCGTCATTGCTGCAAAATGTCAATACCTATTCTACCTATTCTTTGGCGAGATCCATTCCATAAAAGACGACCTTTATTCATTTCTGAATATTTTTCTGAAGATGTATTAAATGAACATGGGATAAATAAGGAATTTTCCCAAACACTATTTGATTATGCAAGTTTTTTAAAGGCCCTTGATCTACCTCGTTTAGAAATTAACGTTAAAAAGTGGATCAAGATAAAGCAAGTTAATGACACGTCGACGAATTTCGTATTTTTTTATATTATTCCTAGAAAGTGGCGCCACACTACATAAATTTAAATTACCTACACCTTTCAAATTTATGCCAGAGATCTTTCAAAATAATCAATTTTTTCTCGGCTGCAATGGTTAAATTTGGATATTACGCCAGAATTCACGGTCAACTTGGAATTTTTGAGGACTCTCTCCAGAAATACGATAACAATTAATAAACTGACCTTTAAACTTCGTTCAAATTATGTTTTACAATTTTATGATGAACTTATTCGAATTATTCGATTACAAAAACAGATTAGGCTATTTAACTTAGTTGGGAATATTCTACAGAATTCCACGGCTTTAGAAAGTCAAAAAATATTCATTACGAGAAGTTATAACGCAGAGTTCGAGGTACTGAGGAACTGCAAAAATTTAGAGACACTTAGTATTAGGTGGGGTTGTTGGAAGTAATAAATTCTAAAATCAGCACATTAGAAATGGTACATTCTCCTACATTTTTCCCAAACATTACATACCTCTACGTAAAGAAGATTGAGTTTTCCACACAAGCTTATTGGTAATTTATAAAAACCTCAAGTTCTCTTACCGGTATTATATTGCAAGGTTGACAACATACTGAAAATATTGCCGTTAACATTTGCAATATCTTAAATTAGGAAATCCGGGATAATCTTGGCTAATACCATATGAATCAATCGTTACAACGCTTTTTCTTGGTAACGAGAAAATACTAAATTGTTAATGGAATTTTGCATACGAAACGAAACTTTGAATTACATGGTGTAAACAGATATTTGAGTTTGGATAATAATTTTAGGAAAGAATTGAAGTATATATTGCATATGTATTTGAACTTATTGGCTTTAATTTCTAATTTCTATAAACTTCCCTTGTCTGTGGGTCAAGCTATTTTATGTTAATTGTCAATGTATTAAGCTATAAATATTTTATAATAAAATTTTACATTTTTTTCGCATATACGATATATCGTTACCTCTTGTATAGTTTATATATTTAATACAAATTTGGTCTGCATTGTTTTGAATATTGTTTTGATTTTATTTTATTTTATTTTTTCATTAACCAGTATTTTTCTAAATTGACGTTTTAGATATCGCTCATAGTTGTTATTAGAGTTGTGTCTTCTAAGTCACCACTGAATTCGTCACTTCTGATGCTAAATTTAAGGCTCTGTGAATGATTGACTCCTCTTGATTTCTATTAACTATAGCTACAGATGAAAAGATCTCTACTTCACATCACATAGAGACATTCGAGTGGAATCTGCAATTCGAGTAGACAAAATGAACTTGGAATCTGCTACCTAAATAGCATATGCACAACCAAGAGACATTTGAATAGTAAGTAAGATCAGTAAAAGCGGCAATTCGAATGGACAAAATGAGCTTAGAATCAAAATGGCATATACAAGTAAGAGATAAAAAAAAAAGTGGTTGAAATAGTGATTATAATTGAAAAGCCGAAGTCTCATTATAAAAAGTAATCAGTTGAAGGGTGGGGTAATCAGTTAGACGTTAATTTTTCTATGAGATTCTTAATTTTTAGGGTACTTCGTAGGACGGACAAATCAGTTGATTATTTGCGTAATTATTATTTAAGGGATCCTTACTGCTAAGTTAATAATTTTCTATTAGATCTGGAGACTAGAAAAAGGCCCAAGCTGGAAAATCCGCCCATATGCATATCCAGGGATGAAAAAGGCATTCGAATGGTATTTGAAATCTGTAAAAAGTGGTAATTCGAATGAACAATCCTGCTACCAGAAATATCCAAAGATGAAAAAGTCACTTGATGGTATTTGTGCATAAGTTGCAGAATAAACAAAATGGTTAGTTGTTTCAGACAGGCACAGCTTTAAGCATGACAAATTAATAGATCGAAACATTAGTAACCTGGTGCACTTTTTCTGAATACTAATAAGGTATGACATGTGTGGTTATTAGACAATTATAACGCTTTTTTTTTTTTATATGTCTAAAAACTTCTTGTTTCAAGAAAAATGCTTTAGTCTCACATATCAGTCAAATGTTACGAATGGAAAAGTGAAAGTTGGAATCATTACATCGATCCTGAAATTTATGCATACATAAATATATACGTATTACCTGAACGTATGTACGTACGTACGTACTAGAGTTGCAGGTGAAACTAGAGTTATAGATGAAACTAATCTTCAATGGTGTAATTAGTTTCACCTACAACTCTAGTACGTACAAGCGATTTTGTACGAACTCAGGCGAAATATGCATTCATACCCCTATCATGCTCAGTATATCATCTAATAAACATAAACTTTTGTGGAGCAACACCATACATATACTTCATGATATTTACATATCATTCAGTTCCTGGTATAAGATTTTTGAAAGACAAAATTTAAAATTATGAACTAATAAAGTATCAATGATAATCGTTTGTATTTAATTAACGTTTATTAAAAAAAATTTTAAAGACAGTAAAATCCTTTTGTAAACTAATAAATTATCAATGCAATGTCTCTGATTTGTTAATGACACATTAAGTTCTATTCGTTAATTATCTTTTATATGCCGTAAGCTGATAACTACTTCCTTATTCTTTGCTAATTCTAATTGAAGAATCTAAGAAAATTTAGTATTTTAACGGTTGTTACATTTTTGTAGAAAAAAAATTTACTATTTGCTTAAGAGTTAAGTATCGTGAATAGAGATTGTCTCTCGCGCAAAATGCTGATGCCATTATACACGAAACAATTTATTATGACATCAGCATTTCGCGCGAAGGTACATCTCTAATTGTGACACCTAACTATTATGATAAGACAAGGACTTTGATAGCAAAGAAAAAATAAGTTAAATTGATTGTTTTCTTATGAATTTAGCTCTCACAAAGAACTTAATAAAAAAAAAAAGATAGAAATGCTTAAGAAACAACTCTACTTACTCTAGCAATTGTAAAGTTTTGATGGCTCAAAAATTTGGCGATCCTGTGACTAATTCAACAACAATGATATCCTAAATTTTGTGCTAAAAATAATAATAATAAAGACTAATTTTCCTGTAGATTGAAATTTCTGTGTTTTTTTTCGCCTTTATTCTGGATTGAATAAAATAACGGGACTGCAAGATAGTCTGGACAAAATAAGTTTTGTGACCAGGATTATAAACTTACTAGTCATTTCTACTATTCAAAAAATTTTGTTAACGTCATAAACATGCTGATCAGACCTAAAAAAAAAACTACACATGCCATACCTTATTAGCATCCGGAAAATGTGTACCAGGTTGGTGTTCCATAGAGGCTTTTTATTTTAATGATCGCACTAGCGGCCGCGGTGATGTACATTTTCGGATGTCATTGTTTCCGCTAATCAAAATTACTAAACGTTTCGATCTATTAATTTGTCATGCTTAAAGTTGCGCCTGCTACCCATTTTGTTCATTCGAATTGCAACTTTTTGTACAAATACCATCGTGCCTATTTCATCTTTGGATACACCTATGCCGTTTCTGGTAGCAGAATTGTTCATTCGAATTACCACTTTCTGTATATTTCAAATACCATTCGAGTGCCTTTTTTTCATCGGATATGCCTACGAAATAACGCACAGGGGCGTTATTTCGAGGTTTGGCCCGAATTAGGCTTAATTTAGGCCGAAAATTGAAATTACACCCCTGCGCGTTATTTCGTGGTTATACGGTAGGTTATTTTCGATAATAGAATTATCTATTCAAATTGTCACCTACAAATATGTGAATATTAATTACTATTCAAATACTTTTTTTTTATCCTTTACTATGTATATGCCATTTAGATAGTCAATTCTAAGCTCATACTATTTAGGTAGCAGATTCCAAGTTCATTTTGCCACCTTTTACCATTCAAATGCCTTTATGTGATGTGAAAACCCTTTCAGATGTCTGCAGCTATAGTTAATAAAATTCAACTACAAAGCTTTAACTTCGGTGACTTAGAAAACACGACTTTAGCAGCAACTATGAGCGATATTTAAAACAACAACCGAAAGCAATACGTCAATAAAAATAAAAATACTAAAACAACGCAAACATACAATACAAATTAATAAGAATTGTCGGATCGATTTTACTATCACGTGATATTAGGAAACTAAAAAACTTCGTAGGTTCGGATGGGCAAATTCATAGTAAAATTGAGTGAGGAATTTTTTTGTTAGGGCTCTAAGGATAGTTTACTAAACTAAATTTGAGATGCGATTTTGCAAAGCGATGAATTTTTTTACGTTACACGTCCTGGCATTGTTGTGTGTTTAGAATGAACTCTATTCAGGGGCACCAATTGTCGTAAATTAGTCTGTATGATGATTATATTATAAGTTATAAAATATTTATATTTGGAAGAATAATACATAAAAATAACACAAAATTATTTTTGGTCATCAGATAAAGGAAATTTATTGAAATTAACAATTAAAAATAATAGAGTTAGCTTATTTTGAACATAAGTGGGAGTTTGAAAAGTTCTATTTTAGTTTTGAAAGTTTCGAAATCAGAAAATGAATAAGAGTTATCTGGAGATAAAATAAGCACCGTTTTTTTTTTAAAAAAAAAAGAAATTTACGATCGTAAAAGTGTTCATAATTATATAAATAAGGAATAAATATAATTTAACTCAAAATCAGAAACCTAAACCTAGCTCTATAGACCTCTGATGTTAACAGCAAAGTGTAAAACTAGTATTTTTATTTCATCCTCCGGTATGTTTTTTATATTGCTCCATAATAAAAGAGTTCGAAGTTTTTGTAAATTGCTAATAAGATCTAGGAACGGAAAATTCAGCCTTTTTTATGAAAAGGACGTAAGGTTCGGGCTAAACGTGTTAATTTCCCTTAATATGCCGAACTTGATTATGAACACCGTCTTTTTCTTATCCTCCTCTTTCACGGCGACTTGCCAGTAGCCATTGATCAAGTCTAAACTCGAGAACCACCGGGCACCTTGGAAGGCTTTGGGGACTTCTTCAATAAGAGGTAAGGGATAAATGTCCTTTTCGGTACGCAAAACAGCCTAAATTGTTTTTGTATTCAAATAATTCGAATAAGTTCATCGTATAGTTTTGGTTCATAGTTATTGTTCTCGTATTTCTGGAGAGTCTTTAAAAATTCCAAGTTGACGTGTAACGTCCAAAGATAAACGTGATAAAAATTGTTCATTTGTTCTAATGAGTAAAAGATCTCTGGCCTAAACTTAAAAGATTCATCTACGCAATGTGGCGCCATTTTCAAAAAATAAGTTTAATAATTTAATTATGGGATGCATCGGCTTGCTTGATCAACTTTTTCTAAACGAGATGGATTAAGAATGTTTAAAATCTTGCATAATCAAATAGTGCTTTGAAATTAAATATTTATCCCACCATCTTTTAAAAATAAATTTTCTTCTTCGCCAAGAGTTGAAAAATATCTGGAAACGAATAAATGTCTTCGTTTTAAAAATGGATCTCGTCAAGAATAGGTATTGACATTTTGCACCAATGTCGGTTCACAAGTTGCGCATGAATATAAGGAATAAGATTCATTATTTAGATTATTAAGAATATTCCCCATTAATTCGAGTATA